AATTTAATAGAGGTTCAAATAGTATTACTTGAAACTAACGGAGTCACTAAATTATAAGTACTTATGATAGTGAAAACAAACGAAACGTTAAAATGGAAATAAAATATATACGCACATATGAATATTAATATTGTTTACTTATTGTATATATATTGGTAAATGCACAAAATTCGTTTGTTATGGTTTGTAATTCCATAGGGAACACCGCAAAGAAATCTGAAGCAACAATAATTCCTAATACTGTTTAAAATTCACGTCAATATAAGACATGAGGATAATTTTATCAAATTCATCACTTCAGACTAGTACAGCTGAGTCAGTTTCCGTCCGCAAAGATCAAAGTGTCTGGCATTTTGCTAGGATTTATACTCGATACTGTTTAATATAAAGCGAGTACATTCATTTACTTCGGTATAATTACTGTCTTAATTGAATTATTTTTGACATGTCTTTCTCAATCATAAATTTTTACTACATATACTACTTATCCAATCATTTTATAATTAAAAGAAAATAATAGGTTTAAAAGTGGTAGTGCTTTTCAAAATACGCAACTTCCTAAATTAGTATCAGAAGACTCATAAATATTAGTATTATTCGACGGACAAATCTCTTGGTCTTGAACAAATCGCTATTCAATAAAGATTTAGTAATAACTATGTTTATCCGATTTACTTTGAGATTTTCTTTATTACAGCAGTGGTCAAAAGATGAAAGGGTCTTTAAGTTATTGTCGTTTTTGTGGTGTCCCACACACGAGTTACTAATTTTATCTCTTATTGTATGTATATTGAAGTATTCGCCTTTTTCGTATTTCAAACTCATGAATCGTTGGACGTTGTAGTATCAGCGTCTATTAATGAATAAATACTAGAAACGCGCCGTATGTACTGTGCCGATGAAAACAAACTGGTGGTTTAGTTACGGACATTCGATTTAAAATTTCTGATTACAAAATCCCAGGGGTTAGATACCTAGTTGCTAATCAACTTTTCTATTGACAAGAGGATATTATTTAATCTCAATAGATTCACGGATTAATCTTGATACTTTTGCCTTCACTAGCGAAGACCTGTAGTGGCGTGCAGAGAGATTTGGGGTAGGATAAGCAGAATATGTATGAAAAAAAAATTTCAATTTTCGTAATTTCCTTTCTAATAATAATGAGATCTTTCGCAAGTATTCATTTAAATGAAACTAATATTTTCGAATTACAAGGCGTAATTTGTGAATTTTAATCCGCAGACGCGATGTTTGCCGTGATCACGGCTACTGCAAAGTAATCGAAACGTCGGGATATGTATGCAGTTTTTAAACATAATTAAATACGCGAAGTAATCAGAAAATATTAGTTTCATTTAAACATTGCTAATATTCGCGCATAATGTTACAGCAATCCGATTAGAACGAACATCTATAAACTTTACGAATCTCTCAACTAACTTTGAGACACGAAAGTACTTTTAAACGATTACGATCTATTCATCACAGCTTTATAAAAGTTATTTAAATATCCAGTAAATATCGAAAGTATCATGTGGAGATTCAAACATTATCATTTGAAAACAACAAACAAAGCAAACAAAATAACTTATTTGTTTGTACACATCCTGCTAACTAATTAAAACTAGCATAATACTTTTCATTAAACCGAATAACATTACCTTTCTTTTAGTTCAGCCTCAACTGGTCACACAGCTTCCCTTTTCAATTATTTTAATTTTATCATCAAACGACAATATTGAACATTTACTCGTATTTAATTACGATTAACACATCACAAGCACAGACCTCACAGATATAATTTATCATAATTCGTTAATAAATTAATCCACTGTTCACTAATTAACTATTTAAAACTTATTCACTCGCGCTTAGAAAGACAAATGATTATTGTAAACATTCAAAAATAATAAAATGGCGAAAAAAATATATGAGCAGTTAACCGACCAATCAGAGAGCCCTGTTTGATTTGACAATAGGCTAGTTGCCACTATTTTTATTATTTATAACTAATACTAAAACGAATACTATACCTGTATTAGTTTTACACACAAACATTAAAATATTTCTAGCATACATACACGAGATTTGTAGATCGTCCTTGAGAATTTTTGTTTGGAAAATAAGCAGAAAGTGGTTCTGCATACCGCCGCTCTGGCTGCGTAGCGGCGCTAGCAGTTGGCAGCGGCTAATCGAAAATGTTTCGTATTTACATTGATAGATGGCACTTATTATCAAAACGTGAATCAAATGTTATATTACAATATGTCTTTATACATCTGTATTTCGTAATGTATGGTTAAAAGTATGTAAGTAAGAATTAAACAATATCGGTTTAGTTGTTATATGCGTAGGGTATGCAGTGCTTATTTGCATCTATGGTTTGCGCGTCACTGAGGACGTGTAGTTTGTCAAAAGGAATTTACTGGCTTTTCTTGTTCAGAATATGTTTATCCAGTACTGACTTCAACGCAAGTCTGTTTTCAAATATAGAGATATGTTACATGAACATTTTATCGAAGCTCCTCTTCATTACATTAGATATAATGTATGACAAGCCATATTCACAATGAAATTTATGTATGTATTGTTACTTAATCTATATCTTCTTCTTCTACATATATATATAAAAATGGATTGCTGTTCCTTAGTCTCGCTAAAACTCGAGAACAGCTGAACGGATTTATCTTATCTTAGTCTTTAAATGTTCGTGGAGGTTCAGGGAAGGTATAAAAGCTGAAAAAAAATGATTCATTACTGGGAAAACCATAAAAACAGCCCTTTTCTATTTCCCATACAAACGGTTTTTTGACATTAGATTTGACAACTAACTAATATGTCAATCTATGAAATAGGTTAACTCCAAAAATATAAATAAAAAAATATTTATTTATTTATTGAGGCACTACGAGGTCTGCCGGGTCAGCTAGTTTTGTTTATATATTATTTGAATTGAGACATGCTGTTTATTTTCTGTCAGTAACTTCCTTCACTTAGGATAATACGACAGGTCCACTGTAGAGAGGTTGTATTGGTTCCGGCGAAGATGGCGAGATATGGTTAGTCTGTTGATGGTGAGAACATGTTTTAAATGATACAGCTCAGCCTCCAGATATTCAGCGCCTTATAGATAACGGCACCATTGGAAAACAAAGATATTTAAAAGGTAGCAAACAGTCCAGGATGTTGGTGAAACTTCCTTCCGATTAAATCTTTTATATGAACATATGCCTAAGAAGTTTCTTTGAAATACAAAAATATTTGTGTTGAAATATGTTACTATATGTTTAATATTTCTAGATTCAATAATTTTAATAATAACACGATATCTGTTTTGATAAATTGAGTGGAATGTACGGATGATGGTTGTGATGGATTTCTACCAATTGCAATTTTAAAAATTCAACTTTGTTAAAATGATTAAAATTTACTATGAAAGTAATTCAAAAGTAGCAAAAATAAACAAAAACCCTTATTAGTTTATGATCAATGGAAAAACAAGTTGTTTAATCTTTAGTTATACATAGTTCTTAAGCCGATCTTGACTGGGAAGTTTAAATAATATCAAGAACACTATAAAATGACCAGAAATTATTCTCCATTAAACGTGCGTATAAAAAACGTATCGTATCAATACTGATTCCAGTCAGAACTTAGGCATATGTACGTTTTTCATTTCTTAACTATTTCTTCTTGTACACAAACTAAAATTTACACTTGGAAGATAATTTTATAATGTTATAAAAGTGTGATAAAATATTATAGTGTGTAATAGGTTTATTTCGCAAAGCTTTACGGGATTGTATCTTAGAATTTGATATCCTAATAATAAATAAACAGTTTACATTTTCCGGAAAATGGTGTGTTTTCTTCTTTTGAACTAGAAAAATATTAATACACGAAAACGGAAAAATATTAATACGCATAGCCATCAGCTCTAGGCGACAGACTGTTACTTACAAAAACAAAAACATATTTTCCATAAAATTTCAAGTCTATTCTTATATAAGAGTTGTATTAGAATAAACATAAAAACATTATTTTATCAAGCATATTATTTAATTTTAATGAGCTTGACTCGTTTTTCGTTATTTCTAACATTGCAGGACGGACAATGCTTCATGCTGCTATTGTTACTCTTCAGCAGAAACAGATCTGTAGTACATACTTTTTTTGAAATTTTAAAAGCACAACGGGGGATTACTGAAAGTGTTAACAAAAAATAAAGTGAACAGTAACTCCCACGCCCGGTTTGACGGTTATGGTCTTTGAGTGCCCATTCTTTTTAAAAAAGTTTCTCCAAACCAAACACGAGTAAAAATTATTTATATGTCACAATAATACTCTTAATAGAATATTTAAGAGAAAAGATTCCTATTTCTGACACTTGGTTCTAGATAAGTTTTGATTGATATTAGAATTGACAAAAAACTTGATGGCACTTTTTTTGAAAGTTTATTCAATTCTTTTTTATATCATTCATTCTTTCGTTGACTTTATTTGCCATTTAAAAAATGTACATAGCACGCAATGTAATTTTCTGACAAATGGCATGGGAATAGATATATTTATACAAAGAACTCCTGACGAATAAAACTTGACCGAATGAGCGTATCTAATCAGGATTACGGACAGGCCGAAATTATACTTGTATATTTCGGTAGGAAAGTAAATCTTCTATCGAATACATCTAACAATCCATTTGACCCCGTATCGGATGTTCGGAAGAAGGAAATGACTCGACCCAAATGACGGAAACAAGTTCAGCTTATTTGTGCTCGTCCCGGATACCCTATCAAAGATTTCCGCAACTACACTACAAATTGGGTAAAAATGCCTCGTTTTCAACTACCCTAAAATAATAAAAAAATATTGACATTAATTTAAAAAAATATTAACGACCAAAAAAATGCGGTTTTCATATATGTATTACCAAAAGGGGCAAATAAAAAAAACCTTCCATACAAAACAAAAAATAATTAAAAAAGCTCAAAAGTCTATGAGTCTATCGGCAACCTCTTCATTATATTATGATAAACTTCCTCCAAAGGTATGACTTCGTTTTTAAAACGTTCCAATATTGCTTCTATGTTATCCAAAAATTTTTTTAAACGACTATCTTCTGCATTCGCTTGTTCAAGATATTTTCCCAGAAAAATTAATTTTAAATTTCTTTTATGGTTAGCTTTCTTGCATTTTGCCTGCATTACTTCAATCTTTCTTTTTAACGTTTGTTTTATTTCATCCTTTACGATTTCACCTTCTTGTAGATCTAAATTATGAACTTTATTCTTGGAATTTTCATTTTGTCTGAATAAAACACACATTTCATTTCCATTCTGTACAGACATTTTTACAATATATTCAGTAAACCATATCAAAAAGTAAAATTAATTTATTAAAATCACTATAAATACTGCATTGTTTTGATTTCCCTATATCATTTAAAAAACTGAAATATCTTTACCGAAACTATAATAATATAATGTTTTGGTATATTTATAATATCAGGGTACAAGTTGTCATAATAAAATATTGCCTTTATTTTTCTGAATATCTTTTTCTGAAACCTTCTTTAAAAAAATAATATTGTTATCAACCAGTACTATTATTGACATTATTTGGCAAAGCTGCCATCTGTAGGTTGATTTAAAAATTATTCCCTCTCAACCTCATTTTAACTTTACTTCTACTGTAAAGCTTATTGTTGTATTCATAATATGTCCAGTTGCAAGTAGATGGCGTAAATAAAATACAAAAAATGACCCGTACGACCTGTCGATTTATTTTAATATAAAGTTAAAATAATTTGAGTAATAATTAAATATAGAGTTTGTTATTGATTTTTTTAGCATATTCTGAAGTTTTCCCCATTTATAGTTGCTTGCTAACATTTGATAAACCCTTTAGTTTGGTCAATAAAAACATGTAAAATATGAAAAATTCCCGGAAAGCAAAAAATGGGTGGAGAGCTTTGGTAAAACATTACAAATAAAGTTGTAAAAGTCCTCATCGATCCTGTGTATGTTTCAATTATTCGCGGCCAAAATTTGTAAATACTTATTTTAGGAAGTCAGTCAAATCTTTTTTTAAATAATTTCTATAGTAACGTTTTGCCCCTTCTCTACATTGCTAATGAAGTGTAGCAGCTAGTTATCGCATATGAAAATAAAATCTAGCGTTTTCACTTAGGATAAGTATATAAAATTTATGAAAAAATATAAGACGCCCTGAGTACACTACCTCACAAATGGCGTGTAAATGTGTACATATCAAGTATAATGTTACTCTAATAATAAATATATCATACCAATAACATTCTTACAAAAAAAAACATAGAGACCATTTTAGTAGAGTACTTTTATTTTATTTTTGATAAAACTTACCGTGTCCGAAAAAAGTGGAAAAACCTTATATTTTGCACTGTGACCGCGAATAACTTTTGAAGCACACAAAAGATCGATGGTCACTTTTAAAACTTTATTTGTAATACCTATATAACGGTAAACTCCAGCTTTCCGCCAATATTTATCTTTCCGGGAATTTTGGTTATTTTACCACTATTTTAGTATCGAAATTGACCGGACTATTTGTTATATCAAAAACTTCTTAAAAATATTGTTGTATCGATTATGTTATATCTGCCTGCTTCGAAATTCATTTCAAAGTTTTAATAAGATGTCAATTTTGGTAGGATATTTCTTTTATAATTTAATGAATTGCATAAAATAAAATATACACATTTTATTAAAAAAAGAATTTCGCTTACAAATACTTTCACCTCATGATCAAGTTTGCTATAAAGTAAGCGAAATGCGAGGTTGGTAATAAGAGAAATGTAAAATAAAACATATTCAGCAAAACCTACAAAATGTTGCGTCGGAATAATTCAAACAAAAATTCAGAAATACGAAACTTAGTCTTTTACAGCAAAAATATTATACACAACAAAGCAACCGTATTTTAATTGAAATGTATCCTATTTCCTGCTTATGGACAAACGAACACCTCACTGACGTGTTAACTTAATTACGTATAAGTAGGTACTTTACTCATGAACACTTGTAGTATTTCAAAACAATTCAATAGTGTGAAGATCTAGGAAGTATGAAACAAGATCTAGGAAGTATTAGAACAAAGGTTTCAAGAAATATGGGACAAATAATATAAGTATATTTTGAAACATATTTATTAGTCAAAATATTTATTTACGAGTATAACATAATTTTTTACTTCAGTGTTTTTGATTAACCTATAGTTAAAGAAAATTTGGTCAGAGGTAGACGATTAAAAAATTAATTAAATGGACCATCAGGACACTTAAAAATATATTTATATTTATTCTTTAAACGAAATTCTATTAAATTTACTTCTTTTGAAATAAAATATCTTTTAAGATGGTATTAATTATTTTAAAAATAATTTGGATAGTTTTTAATATTAGAAAACTCATTAATTACTATAATTACCAAATTTCAATCAAATAACGGAATTATAAAGTCATGAAGATCAAATATAACAAAAATATATTATAAAACTTTGTCTTCTTGTCATTGAAATAAACATTTTTTTATCCCTATAAACTTGGTTTCTATATGTTATAAGACAATTACATATAGTTGTTCAGTTTTAATTTTTCAGTAATTCCACAAACACTTGTTAACTACAATCAACTATTTTTAACTTAAATTATAATAGTATAGCAACTATACAATACAATGCATGTAAATTTGTGTAAAAGTAAATAATTGACTCCTAATGACTATTAGTTTTTTATAATTTCAGACATTAAAAACAAATAAGAAACATTGAACAGATAATTTTATGCAAATGTACCTACATACATTTAAACATATGAACTCCTAAGTATTATAAGAGCTAATAAGGCACAAAGATTACAATAATTTTGTTATTTTATATGTTTAATTGTGATGACAGCATCTCTAGTTTCTCTAACAAAGTAAAAATCTAAAATTGTGATTTACCTATAAATTATTATTTATTTCACTAAATTAATAAAGGAGAAATCTTGTTTTGGAAGTAGTTTTTGTTAAAAGCCTTTTGTAGCAACTTCTATCTCATTCTAGAACCTTTCTAAATTAAAAATATAGTGTGAAACATCAATTGTTAAACTTACTAATACTTAACTACTTAATAACCTATAATCACGATATTGAAACTTGTTACTTATATTTTTTTCACTCACTATTATTTAAATTTAATTAAAAGCTTTACAGTATATTGACATCTCAATCTTAAAAATATCATTGCATATGTAGGTATATTGCCTGTGCCCACACTAAAGCACCTAAAACTTCTACATATAAGACACATTGAAATTATAATATATTAAAATGCGTTATTTAAATCTATTGAAAAGAAAATTTTATAAGCACTAAATATTCAATGATGAGTTTGGTAACTCATTTGAGAACGATGTAAATATTGAAAAAAAGCGGACACAGTCGCCGGTCTCATCTAGAGTCAAAGGTAATTATTAATTTTGAGCAACGAAAGTTAAATAATCTCTTGTAAAAAAACGTTTGAAAATCTCAATAACAACTTATCTATACATATACAAAGCAATAATACAATGGAATCCAAATATCACAACTTTTCAATTCAAACTAATATTTTAAAATATTATAAATAGCATAACAGAGACATATTTTTAAGTATTTTATATTTAATATTCACCCTAAATTACATCATATTTACACTTTATTAAATTTATGATACAAATTAATATTATTTTCCTGTAATTCAAATACAACATAAAGCAATTGTTGTAATTATAATACAGCTTTTTGTGTCATATAAAGAGTAAAATTCAATTACAATCTTTAATTATATGCTTTACAAAATATTTTACAGAAGCAATAATCACGGTAATACAGACGATATCCAAGGTAATTTTCCAGTTGACCGAAACATATGCCAGTCGTAAACAAACCTTCCTAAAACTATGAAAATTAGTAGTAATAAAATTAAATTCACTATATTCATAGTGCTTATAGGCATTTCAACTTCAGCGCTACACACTGTGCTGAGAGGCATTGTGCTTATCTGAAACATAAATGAATAATTGTTAGCATGAACCATTACATATGATTTCTAAAATATATTTAATTTTTCATTTTTCTAGACTCTTATTGTTAATATTTTAAATGGGAATGAGTGTAGGCTTTGTTACTAATTCTCTATTGTTTAAGGCTTCTCCGCTATTCTCACAAAAAGTTATGTTAATAAGATGTAATTTTCACCTTAACGTAGGGTGACCTTTAACCTAATGAACTCATTTATAATTTGAAGTATAAAAAAAGAAAATGAAATGTGGTCACACAATATTTGTATTATCATTTAGTTAAGTAATATTTTTATTCAAAATGTTTTATATAAAACTATATGGCACTAGCGAAAAGTGAAATCATTTACAATTAATATCTTATGTGAAAAAGGAAATATTCCACATCCACTATCCCCTATATATCTAAATTCTCTTATTTTTATCCCCTATACTACATCTCTGAATAATCATTCACTTGATCCGATACTACGTACTACAATTTTTGTAAATCTTAATAATGGGGTTTATAACGTAAAATATAATTATTATTAAAAAGTTGATACATGAGTAATATTGATATAAAGTCTACTCTTTATTATATAAACAACTAAAATTCAACCATCGCGTCTTTAGAATGGTCTGTAAAGCCTATGTAGATAATCCCATAATCATAGGGCAAAACTTATAAAAAGACAATCTTCAATTTTATTTATACTTTTAATTTAGGATCTGCAAAGCAATAATTTTAATCGATAATTTATATCCAAATATTTTAACTAAACTCGAAGCTTGCAAATTGTAATTCCTCTTTACAGATAGTTAAAAACTTTTAGAAAAATAAAATTCATGTATGGGTGCACACATTTACAAAAAACAACAAGCTTCCAATCAATAAAAACCTCCTCTTTGTTTTTGGTGGAATAAAATCTTTCATTTTGATTTTCACGTTGAATTGTTTATTTTAGTTTATTGCAATATACAAGTTACTTAAAATGATATCTATTCAAAGAATCCAGTAAAATAATATTTAAGTATTAAAATTATGTTTGGCTGACTAAGATAAATTATATTGTAGTTAAATATTTGATTGTCTTTCACTAACAAATTTATAAATAATTTTTGTATAGTATACATATATGAAACCTATTTTATATAAATGTCACAAAATCACGTTTAGATCAAGTTTTCATTGCCACACTACGAACAATCGTTTAGCCATCCATATTCATTATAGCTAAAACTATGAAGTACGAAAATGTATAAATGAAAAACTACGAAAGTTCCGTATGTATTATATATGCAGACTTTGTTTAAGCATACAATTCTAGATAACAAATACAGTGTAAACTCTATATAACGACACTGAAGGGACCGTGCATTTTAGTGCGTTATAGAGAGTTGCCGTTAAATAGAGGGAAGAAAAATCAGAATTAGAAAAAGACAAAGTTTGTTTCAGACTACTGTTAGTACTTATGTACATAAAAAAGAATGTTATAAAGTCTGTTGTTTTTGTTTGACGTGTTTTGCTGCACCAGTAATGTTGTTGTATTTTTTACGTATTTTATTCATATCTTGCGATATTGAGGCATATTGGTGAAGAACGAATTTCTTAGAAAGTTTGGTATGCATGATTACGACAGTGGAGTTTATTGCGGGCTAGGATAACAAAGCGACAAAAAAACGTACACAACTGCTCAGTTTTTACTAATTTTAGCAACTTAAAGGGTACTTTTTATTACTTAATTTTGTCGTTATTGAGAGTGGCTGTGACGCTATATAGAGTGTACCATTCTAAGGTGGACAAGCTAAACCAACCAAAGTCAAATGATTTCGACGCTTTAGAGAGTTTGTCGTTAAATCGAGTGTCGTTATATGGAGTTTACACTGTATTTCAAAAATATCAAATATGGGATTCTTATTTATGATAATAAATTTTAAAGCCGACATGCATAAAAACCACTTATTATTAGTTTCATCAGAATTCTAAAGCATCACATTGCCAACTCTTTAGAAATTTCAATTAGCTCACACGGCAAAGTGTCAAGTTCGTCGCATTTGACACAAAGCACAAACAAAGATATTGAGTTACATCTTTCTCATACAAAAATACGTTTGTTTTTATGCTTATACTTCAATTTGTGTTTGTGCAATATCAAATTGATTAGGTATTATTACTTATATATGTTAAGCATTGAGGTTAAGCAATTGACATTATACGAAAAACGTAAACATTATACAGGGTGACTGGTGAATTACTATCGATACTTGAGGACGTGATATTTGACGATCATATATGACAAAATAAAAATTAATATAACATAAATATTAATAAACTTCTAAGTAAAGTTAACCAAAAGTTATGTAATTAATTACGCATCGTGTGAACACCCTACAGATTAGGTATACACACACACTCACACATACGCGTGCGCGGCGTAGTGTTGTATCAGCACGCCGCCGCACGCGTCCTCACTTGAAACACTTGGACCGTATCCACACTTTATTTATTTGTACGGAAATTTGATCAAAAATTAAGTACCTATTTTTTTTACATACTTCGAATGAGAATCATGTACCGAGTATTCTCCTTAAATATTAATAGTAATTCACCAGTCACCCTGTATATTAGCACTATATTTATGTATCTATAAAGTGGTAGTTCAATTATTTAGTTATAATGGATCTAACAATTACACATTTTAAAAACCATACTTTAGCTATCATGTTTCTTTTAAAATTATTAAATTCATGTTGGAGCCGTTGTCCAACAACTATAGAAGCTCGAAAATTCTTGCCTAAATTTCTATTCTACGCTAAAAGTTTGCTTTAACAATTTTAATAAGAATTTTTTATAAAAAAATTCTAACAGCGCTTTTATCAAATTAAATCTTAATTGTAAATTAAACACTTTTTTAAACAGATAATTTTAAAAATTTGATAGGGATGTTTTCATTTAAGGTGCGATAAAGAATGTTGAAATTTTATGCTTTTTAGGGTATGAACAAGTTTTTTTACATTTTATTGCTTAAATACTTAGTTCCACATTTCGCTTTTACCAACATGTGTGCCAACCAAAAACATAAAAGCAAAACAATATTTCGTGCACTATGTTTTATTAATGAAGTACGTAATCAAATGAAAAAATGTATCAAAAGAATCGTAAAAAATTATGATCCAATGTTTTTACTACGTTGACTTAGACTTTTAATTTCTTTATAGCCAAAAGAACAATAAACGTATTGAATTTTATTATCCATAATACCAATGAGATCAGGACAGATAGGTTATTGCAAAAACAGTATTTTTACGTCATTATTTTCGTATTTTGTAACGAAGCCCGATAATAACGTTTTGAATTTTGAAATAACTATTAAATGATCCGTTTATTTCTTATCAAAATATTGTGTTCCTCATTCAGTCATTTTTTATATCAGTGACATTACTTAGTAACATTGCAACAGTGTTTCTAAAAGTAAAAATATATTATTTAAAAAATATATTAATTTTACTTAAATAAGATAAGGAAAACAATTCTGACGATTTTTAAGAATTAATTTCACTATAACTAAATTAAATAAAAACAAACATCATATACAGTCGCATACATAGTTTGTGTTTTAACTCAAATTATATGTCGACACCTATTTATTATAGGTATATAACATTTAAAAGATATAAATATGTATATAAATATTAATAAGAGGAATTATTGGAAAAAATATATTTTGTCCGACTGCAGCAAAAACCAAAAGGGAGGACTTCGTTTAAAATTATATCAATAACATGTGAGCGTCTTTAAAGGTTTGAATCTGATGGATAAACGGGTAAACAAAATTTTGTACCAAGTATACTGCAGGCTAAAATTAATACAGATTAAATGTTTAAATGATAAATAAACTAAATTTACCTGCTTAAGCGATATAGTTTTATCATCTGACTTCGCACACCTTATATCTTGCAGGTCTCGTATAACTCTTTTATATTTAAGGAGTAACCCTTGAAATCGAGGTATGAAGTGGCAGTCACATCTCCATGGGTTATTGCCTAAGTATACGTGCATAATATCGTTGTTCCCTTGGAAAGCCTTGTCAAAAGCGTAGACTGGAATCTGAAATCAGAAAAAAAATTCGGGATGAAACTATAACAATATAGAAATATTTTCAGTTTTAATTAATTCCCCTACGGTGTTTATTTGTATGTGTTGTTTTATCGAATTCAGGCGAAGACAAATGATTTTTTTTTTATTTTTTTTTTTATGTGAAAGGTGGCAAACGAGCAGACGGCCCACTTGATGGAAGGTGGTTACCATCGCCCATAGACATCCGCAACATTTTGTTGCGGATGCATTGCCGACCTTGTTTTTTGGGGGTAGGGAGGGGTGGGAATAAGGAAATGAAAGGAAAGGGTAGGAATAGGGGAAGGGCAACCGGCTCTCTCACTCATCAGACGAAACGCAGTCATTACTGACTACTTGACGCCGATCTTCTGTGAGAGGGTGGTACTTCCCCGGTCGAGCCAGCCCATATTCGAGCTGTAGTAACTCACCGCAGCTGGGCTCTACCACCTTAAATTAACTAGTAATTAAAATGTTATCTAAAAACCCAACTTCTCTTCATCACTAGACAGTACAACTGCTTGTAGCAACTGAAGTTTAAGTTGAAGAAATCAGTTACATTGGGAAGCAACTAATATTATGATTAACTACATAAAATAACAACAAAAAATTCCAGCAAATCATACAAAAATATACCTAATTAACATAAATAACACGGTTGAAACTCCTAATAAATCATTTTATTAAATACAATGCGTACAATTATTTTTGAACAAATTAATTCTCAAATTATATTATAATTAAATTATAAAGCAATTTTGTCATAGCGAAGGATTAACGTAAAATTTCCAGAAAGCTTCATAATAATCAGGAAATGCTCTCGATAATACTTAATTAGATCAGCAAATTGTGTTATGTTTGTATCGTTCCGGTTTATCCTCATAATTATAATTGTAATTATAATCGTTCTCTACCTTGGAAACCTAATACGACGCGTTCTTAAGAATTGCTGATACAACTTCCTATTTGAAAGTCTATATTGATGTCACAAATAAATGAGATTATCCAATACGCTTGTAGTGTAAACAAAACGATCATATTATTATGTAGATTAGAAATACAAGACATATTGGTTAAGATGGACTGAATTCTACATAGTTAAATACACAAAAGGACTGGAAGAAATACCAAATCAAGAGGACAACATTATGTACCATATATCATCGATTTTAACATATATAAGAGTATGTTACTAATACATAAAAATTTTGAATACTTCACTTTATTTATTAGAAATATAATATTTACGTTAATTTTGTTAAAAAATTGAAACAATACATTTTGTTTTTAAATTATTATTAGCCCAATCTAACAATAATTATAAGTTATAAAATTTTTTTCACTATCAAAAAGAAATTATATAAATGAGGAAACTATGTACATATTTTAAATGGAATAAGTTCGACTTTAAGATATGATGATTAATTTCATAAAAACTTTTATTAATCTTATAATAACATAAAATATTATAATAACATACCTGTTTCAACATATTTCCTTTTAAGCTTAGCACCCGAAATGTTGAAAAAAATTCTGATCCTTCCAGCTCTTTCACTGACTGAATACTGTTATTATCAAGAAATAAATTCATCAATTTCTTATACTGTGGTCCTTGAGCAAGTTGCCTTATACTATTAATCTGCAAAAGAAAAAAATCAATAGAAATTATTCATAAAATAACAAATTCCAGCATATAAAAACCAGCAATTAATTTCAGTAATTAAACTGCACATAACAAGACAGTATATATACAGTAATGAGATACATAATTTATATATGAAATAAGATAAAATATGTGGTAAAATTAAAATGTACTAATTTATACCCGTGACTGTGTTTATAACCTCTATTAAGGAATTCTTGTATCAAAAGTATCCTACGAGTTAAACGCAAATGAAATTCCTTTTATAACCAATTAATTCGAAATCTTAAGGTAATATGGTGCACTTTAAAAGGCATACAGGATCTTAGTTAACAATGACAGTAATGGAAGCAAAATGAAAACATAGTCCTTCCCAAGAAAATATACACTTAATACAAAACATTGTGAAATTCAAAGGAAAACGTTTAGTAAATTAAGTTTCCTGGATAACACGAGTCGAAGGTCTCGATATGTCGAAAAGATTCTTAGAACGTAACCATTTTGAATGAAATTATTGACAGAGTCACCGAAGCTAAAAATCTGGGCGTCATCATGGACGACAGCTTGCGATTTGAAAAGCAAGTTATTAATACTGTCCGTAACTGCTTTTACCGTTTAAAATTATTGTACCGTATACGAGAGTCCTTATCATTTGAATTACGTGTAACATTGTGTGAATCACTGGTGCTGTCAAAATTAAATTACGCCGATACAGTGATAGGGCCACGGATGCTTGCACGCTCGAAAACGGCTATTCAGAAAGTACAGAATGCCTGCGCTCGTTATTGTTTCAACATTCCTCCGCGTGCACATGTAACTCCTTACATAAATGAAGCCAAATCCTTAAAGACTGACTACCGCAGACAATTGCATTTCGCTTTACTTTTATTCGGAGTCATTAAATCCAAGTCTCCGGGATATCTCTATGATAAACTTTTGTGGTCATCGGTTGTAAACACTAATCACTCCACCAGGGCGAATCCTTATTTATTGTTAGTGCACCCACATCGTACTGCAGCCTTTCGTGGAAGTTTCAGATATGCCGCGACCAAATGCTGGAACAATCTGCCGCCCCCACTTCGTGACTTAAAATCGTTAAATACTTTTAGACTAAAATACAAGTTACTCTTGTTTAATCTACAAATTGAACAATATGTAGATTAAACAAGAATAACGATAGTAACAATAGTAACAATAGTAATAATACTAATAATAATAAATTATCATATTCACAAATTTATATATATATTGATTTTGATATAAATATTTAATAGTATAAATGTTAGTATTTAGTTAAAAACATACCTATAATTACATGGCCAATTTGCTTAATGCAGATTGTTTCATGTCATATTGGTTGCGGAGTGTCTGTCCCAATTATAGTTTTTGGGAGTACTATTATCGTCATCTCTAGGGCAACACAAAACATTTGTATATAAAAAAAATATTTACCTAAATTTTTATTTGTTTCGTTATAGCCCCTGTCGCCATAACATACCATGGCGCTGTCATTGAATTGAGTCAGAGTAACCGTTCTTTAGATTGAATTTTAAGTTTAGATTTATCATTATTTCTTTAATCTTTAATTCTTTAATAATTTATTTGCAACGCTTACGCGCCCGTACGTCACCGTCACATGGAGGCCTCTGAAAATCAGGGCTGGGATTGTATTATGCCAGCTTTAACTGATGGGGTTTTCCATTTTGGATGCCACACCAGTGCAAAATTTATTTACACTTTCTTTTTGTTTTAGTCTTTTTAATTATTATAATTTTTCTATTTTTCTTTTTTTGTTTTTATAGCTTTGTGGTAGGAAATCTTTTTTAGTTTATATAATTTAATTTAGACTAAGTAACCATAGATGTAATTATTTTTGTAAGTTAGATATAAGTTTATTTTCTTGTTTAGTTATTATTATTCTTTTTTTTTTTGCATTTTAATATTTCCTTATTGTTTATATTTTATTTTATTTTTCTCATGTTGTGGTGTGGACCAAATAAAGTTTTTATCTATCTTATCTATCTTATCTATCTATTTTGTGACTTGACTTGACTATCTTTTCAGACATAAGCCGTCATAAGAGAACTTTATCCAATTTAATGTTTAATGAGTGCTCCGTGTAGTGAGAAACAGTTACCTAAACCCATATTTTGCTGAAAATACGTAATAATTTGAAAATATCCCTCCGAATTCATATCCTGTGCTTAATTGGAAAGTAGAAATTTTCCTATTTTAGGTTAAGCTATAGCCGTAACTAACCCCTTTGCCAAGGATTGGATTGTTTATAAGAAGCTAAATAAGTTGAAATCTGTATGATTGAAACGACGTCCAAATCATATAGTACACACAACCTAGACATTCGATATTAACACGTACTATTTACCATTGACCCTCTATGTCTTTTCCGTAGTTTGAGTTGAAAATTAAACTATTTCATACCTTTTCTACTAATGAGCATAATTAAACCCAGTATTGAAAATCTTTCAATGCAACTACATAGTTCCAAAAGCAGCTGAATTTCAGTCAATTTAGCAAAGTCAAGAGATTTAATACGACTGTAATGAATGCTCTCAGGAATAAATGTCATGATAGGAAAAAAAATCTTCGGATAATTATGAAAGCGACATCTTATTAGGATTAAATACGACTGCCAACAAAATCAAAGAGTAACTTTCACCGGAACGTTTTTTTTGGTTTAACTTTATCTCCATCTTCAGAAATAAATTACTCGATGTAATTTTCTGAATTACAAAAATAGCGAGCAATCTTTTTAGAAATGGGAGAACACATTTACAGAAAGTACCTTGCAAAATCAAAAAGTGGCCACCATACTTTAGACTTAATTGAAATTTGATCAATGGTCTATTTTTTCCCAGAAGATACTCAGTAATAAGGAAAAAATGGTATTAATAAAATATGTTGCCAGTTGATAAGATTCATTTGTGAAAATTTTAAATGATCACAATACAAACTGGAAAAATGTAAGGTGTAAATAATTGCTATGATGACTGTATACTATGTACTACTTTTTATTTTACATAGTAATATCTTGCAGCAGTCGAACTATGTTTAAATACTTTAGACACTATTGCTAACGATAAGTATGTGTTCAAATATATTTACTCAAAATTAATTTTCGAAAACCACATATGATCGTTTGAAATCGACTTTATGAGTTGATTAATTAAATTCCCATTGGCTCATATTTAGACCCGATTCTTTACTTTTACAATAACTGGCAATTGAGTTTAAGGAGATTAAAATATGGTATATGTAATAAATGTAAGAAATCGGTTAAAAATCTCAACATTGTTATTTTGATCTAATTTAACTGACTAAAATTAAAGTAGCCCATAAAAAACACACAGATGAAGATTTAATTTTAAATCAAACTAATATTTATTGAATTCAGCTTAGTTTTTTCCAAAAGGTAGATTAATATTAAAGATCTTGAAATATGGTTTTTATCATATTAAAGATATAACATATTTAATAAAACCTCCATATTAATGAATTAAACCTCCATATTTTTCATCCTTGCTTATAGCTTTTTGGGGAAACCAAACCTCACATTGACACGAATTGGTGAGCAAACGATTTTATCAAACAGGTGAAGTCAACAAAGAGTCCTTTTTTGCTTTTAGAATAGAACCTGCCTATTTATTCCTGTTCCAAAAATATGTATTTGAAAATAATACTTCAAGAAGATATGTAAAATTTAGGATTAAATGTTATGGTGATATCGAAGACCTTTGAGAGTATTAAAATTAAAAACAGAGTTTTTATTGCTTAACAAATCAGGATCGAACCAAATAAGAGGTGTTTCAGCATATGCTAGCTCGTTCACTGTTTAATTTAAAATTATAAGTTTTTCCTTAACTGAATAGTCATAGGAAAAATATTTAATTTCATTTAAATAAAAATTGTTGTTTTCGATACTATGTTTATGCATAGTAATTCCTTGCTATGTATTTACAGGGTGTAAAACAATCACTTATTTATTTTGTTTATATAGAAAACCCCACTTTATTTTTATTTTAAATGTATATTTATTCTAAAAAGAAAATAAATAAACGTTAACACGTTTTAACTCACTTATACCTATATAGGTTAATACCAAAACAATATATTTAGAAGCGACAACAATATCAAGCAACAATCGTGAATTATAATTAAAGATTACTGAACGAGCACTTTGTGTACGTAGAGTAAATATTTATATAGTCCAAATGTTCTAATGAAATGAACCTTTCTGTTTGCTTGTTGAAGGGTCTATTGTGTGTGCACGGTGCGAACATTAATTCCTTATCTAGACCGTATCAATTTCAAGCAATTAAGGTGTGTAATACCATTTGTTTATAGAATTGTTAAATTGTTCAAAAATTATGCAGAATTCTCATAACTCGGTATAACAAAAGTAGGAAATTGCTATTAAGAGTCAGAAACTATAAAAATCAAAAAACTTCAACTTCAAAAAAAGAAAAAGTTACTTCATCTATTTTAACTACATTTTATACTGATTACTATATTTTGTTTTGGATATAATTCTTTTATGTTTATTGTATGTATATCCCGCAATACAAACAATTTATTATATGATTGAATCTCAAAGATTAACATGAATGTATATTTCTGAAATATTCCTGTCCCAAAAAATATTTATTTTTGTTTCTAAAAATATTGTTTGTAAGTTATACATTCTTTAAAAAAGTTTTAAGGAATTTGTTAAATTAATTTTAGTAAAAATCTTCCAAACTAATATCTGATTCCATAACAGTCATAAGCCTGTAGGTATATAGAAAGTCTACTCAACTTGTGTTTAAGAATATTTTTTTATATCTTTATACTGATTTTCACAAAAATTGTAATTAGAAACAATCAAATTAACTTTAACGTCATGTTCAAATGAGAATAGATAGATTTAATAACACTTGTCGTCACTATAGCAATCCTATTTACGTATTTTTGGGGCGATTTCTATAAGACGTAACATTTCCAAGAATGCCTTTATTTCTTTTATAGACACTTGAGCTGGCTAGGTAGTAATCATTTAATTTGACTTTTGAAATATAATCTTTTAACCAGATTTCAATTATTATTTTGTTTCATTATAAATAAGAATTGCTGTAATTTCATGTTATATGTATTTACAACTTTGTTCTAACGTATTCGTTTGATATAATATGATTTTCTTAAGCCTTAAAGATAATCTTTATCAAGACAGACGTCACTAATTGTTTTCTTCCAACATAAACAGATCAACGCCTGTTGCAACAGTACATATATCTTCATTTTATTATATACTAGTAAACCTGGCGAACTCCGTTTCGCCTCCAGAAGTCTTTGTTTTATGTAACATTTCGTTTGGTGATTAAAAGATGGAAGAATTTTTTTTTTTAATATTTGAAAAGGAAAATTTTTATTTCATTTCACAACATTTCATTGAAGTTCTCCTTTGTAAACCACATTTTTTGTTTTTTGGTCTAACGTTAACACAAATAAAGCAGATGGTTTCCCAACTCTTGAACACACAAACTATAACTGCCCATGTGAAAAACAATGATTTTCTAAATTTATCCCGCAAATACTAAATTACATATATGTATGTCATTATACGTCAATCGCATAGCTGTCAATTGTGTTTCGTTATTCCACGTTTTATAGTGACTGACGTTTCATGTCAAGTCCCATGGGAATGCTGTCGAACGGGATAAAAAGTATCCTATCGCAATTTCCTGGTTCTAAACTACCTCCCTGCCAATTTTTAGCTAAATCGGTTCAGCCGTTCTTGAGTTATAAGTGGGGTAACTAACACGACTTTCTTTTATATATATAGATATGTAGCTATAGCGAGAAGGGGCGAAAAGCTCTTCCTTTCAATTTCTTAACTTTTTCTTCTAAAAACGGTCCCTTGAACAGATAAAATAGTTTTTTTGCCGTCGAATGTCACCAAGAACGTGGCTTTATTAAATCATAATAACATATTTCTTCTGAACACCATTTATCAGTTCCTGAATAAATAACATTATATTTTAAATGTATCAATATTATATATTTCCTTTTCAAATAGTATAGTTGCTCTCACGATACTACAATTACGAATGGATGAGAATTGCAATCTAATAATCGAAAAAGTCTTTCTCTTAGTCAGACTAATATTTCTTACACACGTTTAATTTTATTGGCTATATTAATTAAACCTTTTTTTTTTCAGTAACTCAACATTCGGGTCTTCCTAGGGGTTTGATAAAAAACGGACAGTAGTTTGTTACCTTGTTTCCTTCCAGGCGCAATGTAGTCGTGCTTGGAGGCAGAGTAAGTGGAGGATTGTCCAGTTGTTTTCTACTACAATCAACTGTTATGAGAGGTATGATGGCGCCCTTGCTATCAGAAACAACGTGAGTCATAGCACAGACGCAAGGCTCAGGGCATGTGTTGCGCACCATCTAATGAATTAAATAATAATTAATTCCTGTCAAATATGTAATGTTTTCAAAAAAACTACTTAAGTTGTAATGGTGAGTGAGCACATTTATACTTTTAAAATAAAACCAATTTCCAAACAAGTGTGGTCAATTAATTACATTGTTGTGAATTTTTTTTTTGGAAAATATAATTTTAGATCAATGCTGCTCCTGGATTGTCAACTAAGACATTTATTATGACTTACATTTCATTTGTTTCCACCTAGATCTCACTTATCCACTTCGTCATACTTACATATATGTAATTTCTATACAAAATTATAATCTTCCGATACTCAAGACATTCACTCACAATTTTATATTCTTAAAATCAATTTTACAACTAACTGTACTAATTCCTTAATAGATATTATATCCAGAAGTCACAATAAATCAAATACAGAAAGTCATAAATTACTTAACCGTTATTTAATACATTGAAGCTATGCCATGGAAAGTAATATGTGGAGGAAAGAATATTTAGTAGAGAGTTTCTTTTAATATACTCACCCTAATAATGTCCATTACTTTATGCAATGGTTTTCCTCGGTAAAGTTGTTGATGGCACATTAACTCGTAGTAATCGACGATTTTGGTTCTAACAGTGCCATTTTCGTTTTCCATCGCCAGCCAATCTAAACCACCATCGCTGCAGTCCCAATTATTATCTACAAAGTAATACAAGCTTATTCCATATGATTATTTTATTTCTCTTTCACTTACGTATCCCATGAAAAGAAAACTCATAACAAATAATAATAAATACATGAAAAATGTATCTATTATTAGCTATTTTAACAATTTTATGTATAAAAATATGATTTCATGTGAAAAAAATTTGTAAACATTTCCTTTATTCTACAATAAAATTACTTTTTCTAGTGATTTTATTTTAGTAGTAGTTTAAATGGAATATATTTTTATTTTGAAGTAGCTTTTAACTTTACCCTTATAAAAATTTGAGAATCGTTAATGTAAGTGTTAGAAGTAGCAAATTAAGATGATAAAAATAGAAAAGTGGTTCCAAAGAGATATCATCAATTAACTATAGACATAAAACTGTGATAAGAAATTCCCAAAAGAAAATAAATAGGATAATATCATTAACTTTAGTAGTGGCTTACTTAACTAATCATTTATTTTTAGAGCTTTTACGTTGGGGTGGAAATAAATTATCAACTAATATCAACAAACTGAGAGACCGCGAGATTACCTTCAACTGATGTAGTTACCTGAAAACCTATTTTAACAAAGAATTTCACAAGAACTGACTCTTTATCGACAAGCCTACAACGTAAATCACTTTTCACATCTACTTTAGTATATAAATAGCTTTGTGAGACCGTAATGCTTCGTTTTTATGTGATGTATACTTACGTAATATTTTGACATTGTTCAATATACATTTACGTGGGTTTTTTGGAAGACACTACAAAAATCATTGTAAATTAAAAATTGCCTTTAAATCAAAATTTTCATATTCCCAGTGTATAAACTATGTTATAAATATGTTAGGTATGTGACTGCGTACCTATATAATTACATATTAATTATATATAAAAATTATATTATTTCAATTCTGTTCGATAACCTTTGCTAGCCTGCATAAGTTTTGATAATGGAACCGGTTATTGAATGAAAAAGTTATAAAAATACAAATGAATGACAAATCTATTGTGTATTTAAAAGGAAGATGGTTAAGAAACCAAGCCACTAAAAATATACCTCATTTTCTTCTTGTGTATTCTGCAGAAACATAGCACATATAGCTGTAAAGTCTCTTGATTAGATTCGTTAACCAGCCGTACTACAGATAAACGAGACCATGAACGGTTATTGAGATATGAATTTACAGATAGGAGAAGGTATGGGACATGCAATTGGTTTTATAATAGAGTAAAATAACTGAGACGTGAGCTGAAGTTTACTGCAACACGAGTGTTTTACATGATTGGCAAACAACTTTGAAATTGTTTAAAAATATTTATTCCAGAATTTTCACTCAAATAGGTCGTTGTGATTATTCAATAAATTAAATCTTTCGTCTGTAGACAATAAATCTTGATCATATATATTCAAAAACCATAAGTTTTCAACAGTTTTCGTCGCATCATTTACTATTGCCTCAAATTTTGCGTTATTTCTAAACTTTACTAAAAACTTCTTCAACTCCGTGAAAGTATGTCAAGCAACTTGTATATTCATATCGATGGTGTATAAAATTTTGCTCATAATATTTACTTTTGTTAATATCATATACCATATATTTAGTGAACAAATTGAATATATTTCCTTCTAATTGATATGTCGTATAAGGCATCACAAATTTCTGCCAAAATTTGTTAACAGCGGCTTAATAGCATTGCTAGTTTGTTAGACTTCATCAATAAAATGATGGATTCCTCTCATTAATGATTTTTCAAAGATGGAGCCGTCAAATTTTTAATTATTACAGTGATATTTTAATTATGTTCTTCTCCTACATTTCTTTTTTTTTATATCTTATTTGTACTTTGTTTACTATTACTCATCGTTATTACATAAGCTAAATAAACACCTTCCAATGGAAATAACTGATAAAGATTTCCGTCGATAAGAAACAATGTTATTTTATTAAGCATGATCAGGTTTTATTTCTGAAGTATGTTTAACTATATACAATTTAAACCGAACAATGATATCCATTGATCAGGAAATTAGGTAGGACTTATAAATTAATAAATACGGTTTCACAATTTTACCAACCATCATACATCTAGTACAAGCTTATATAAAGTAGGTTGTACATTAAGTCAAATTAAAATATTTATTTTTAATAAAATAATTTTAAAAAAGCTTTTGGTTTTCCTTCGGCCTTTGGTCTATAGTGAAAGCATTCACGTCAAAACCATTAAAAACTTAGCACTATATATTGTTTATAGTCCTAGAGCTTATGATAAAAAATGAATCCGCATCTTGCACACATTTTCGACTTGAGAAATCGTTCCTTTTTAAAGTCCGAGGACTCCCCTAAGTACCGTGACCCCACCCAGCACCCCGCTTGCATGGGTCGGGTTACGTTCAAACTCATAAATTCGAACAAACACTTGAAGGGCTCGGTTCTTTTTATTTTACCGTTGAGACAGAAATTCATGTAAAGTTAAACTCTAAGCTAAATACTAAGCCACAAACGTGACTATTGGTCTATGGAGACTTGTACTTATATACATTATAGTTTGCTATTTATGAGGCACTTGTTGCACTTATTGTACCTACTTATGTATCGACTCTTCCCGACAAAGAATTTGTTACTTTGGAACTGGTGATGGACCTTTTTAACTAAAATTTAATCATTAATAATAATAATAGACACCTATGTCTATGGATGCCTATTGCCCTGTCGACTGTGTACACCGCACGCTTTCCACACAGGGGCGGCACGACACTGGACTCGAATACGCCGCTGGTATGCCTACTTGCACAAGATTCAAGGTATAGAAACATTAATGAACTAGAATAGAAGTTACAGTTAAAGGTTAAGTCAAGTAAAAGTATGGAATATTCAATTATTGACACTTATGAAACGAAATTTCGTATTAAAGTAAGTAGGTATATTACAAAATATAAAACTTAACAGGGCGCTTAACAAAACATGTATTATTTCTGTTTTACGTATAAATCTAACTCATTCCGAATAATTTTCAATATAATTGTACTTCAATCACAATAGTCAAAAAGGTTTTAGCTTAATAACATCTGTTCTAAGAATTCTGTACAGTACGTCGAAACCCCATTAGAACATATATGAGATATATTAAATAAAATAATCAAACATTAAAATTATTTTATTAACACGATCCTAAAATGGCAGCAATATTTTACAATATTAATAATAATTAGACCTTTGTAAAATCGTCTTTGATATGAGCTTCCTTTACGAATTAATTAATTAATAAATTTGTTGACGATGCCAATTTATTAATATAATTAATTTTGGTATTAACAACATACATGTATGTATTTCGACTTCCACGTGGTTTACGAAAACACATTTATACATCGAATATATAATTTTCTTACTAATATTTGTAAACAATAATGCTTTTAAAAAAACTAAGTCAACTATTTTTATGTGTCATCGGCAGAGTTGAGGAGACAAATGTTGCGAGGTGTATCTTGAAAAATAAACATAGGAATTAAATATCTAGTTAAAAGATTTGGAACATTATATATTATAATACAAGTCATAAGTAATTTGTTACCATGAAAAATTTAATAAGGCCCATGTCTGATCAGAATTCTTAAATACCTGAAACTGTATTTTTCTACCTAAAACACATTTTCGCCGCTTGTTTTACTAAATGTGTGTAATATAATGATTTTATATAGGATCTTAGCCTTGTAACTTCGACCATAAACCTGATTTCAAATCCCTATTGTCAAACAGTTAACAACAAACGCCCCTTCCATGGCTTCTAAGACAGCTTGAACCCTTAAAAATTATTTATAAAATATAAGAATCTATTATTATCAAAGGCTGCTAAACACAAATATAATTTCAATTAAAGTATTGACTTTAAAATATTTTTAACCACGGTATTCGTATTCTCTTTAAAAAGACTTCGTTAATTTCATAAACCGATATGTATACTGTTTATTAATTCATATTGAACTTTTAAGGACACAATTTCACAAATTTTATATGTTTTAAATAAACCTGAGACATAGATAAAATAAATAAATATAATAAAACATCCAACGCATTCAGTTGCATTTAAAGATATACTGGCAATATTTAAAAGCCAAAAATACCTTGCCAGATTTAGTAATTATACGCCAAAAATGCCTTACATGAATTCGGCAAAAAGCTGACACTCTGCCACAGCCACAAACACGCATGATTTTAATATTACAGAACTACTCTTTTTGCATCGGAGATTTATAACTGAGTTTTTTAAGGGTTCCCTGACTTAGACAGAAATTTTTCTCTCCCTACATAACTGTAGGCCAAAAGGAAAAATAAATATTGGATCTCTTTGACGTTACAATACACCTGTCAGTCATTACGTTTTGTATTTCATTAAAACAAGTGTCACGTTCGTAAAAAATAGGTATACAATCCCTTGGAAAAGTTCAATGGTAATCGCAAAGCTATACAAAATACAGTCATTTATGTAAATTTAAATTTGTTCACTTTCCTATTAATTGAAATAGGTATTTTTGTTTACGTTTAAGAAGTATATACATTATAATTTTGAGTAAACTTTTCATCATTATGAGGGTTTAAGTATGTTTATCTCAACTATTTCTCTCTAATACTTATACTTTATCGACCAATATTTATAATTAAAAATTAAAACGACTAATCGGTAATATATGTAGTTAGGATAAATCACAAATGTCGTGAACTGATGAGATCTCAGACTTTCGAGATTATTTATTTAAATCAAACAGTCGTGAACTGATATTATAGCTCCAGAAGTTGGAACCAGTCTAGAAACTTAATTGAAATTGTTCGAAACCGAGACCAAAAACTAACAGACGTACGTAATATAAAAAGTTTGTTAAATACAAAATTTCATAACTTTCAAAATATCTGCTAAACAACTGTACAAGAAAATTCTGTCCGCTCTTCTATTTATGATTTATTAATAATTTTTTTTGTTTCTAATAATATTTTATTTAACAAATTTTAAGAAAATACTATATGTTAATCCTTATTTTTTCTTTTTTATCTAAGTAGATATCTATTGTTTTATATTTGGAACCACTTATAAAAATTATTTATGACCTCAAAAGCATATGACAAAAAATAAATCCCACGTTAGCTGACCCTTATAGACCAATAACGCTACCTCACTCTGTCAAAGCATGTTTCTTTGTCTAAATCTGTCACCTCTACTATCGTCACATCGTACATACATACATACACAACGTCTCCGCGAACGTCTTGTTCCCAAACGTTAAATTCAATTTCACTATTTTATCTATTAATTTTGCATTACTTAATTTTTATTATTAAAGAAAATTAAATTAATATATTCGTTAACAGTTTTAATTAAAATTAACTAAATAAAACTTCAACACAAATAACCTCCAATCAAATTGTCGTAAAATCTCTACGCGACAAAAACAAAATAAAGAATGAGTTCACACATCAATTTTCCTATTACAATCACAGATTTACAATTTTGATTAAAAAAGCCTGTTAATGCTACTTTAACATAAACAATTCTTTATCTACAAAACTATTAAGTTATCGCGTCCTCATCTAATCCCAGTGACATTGTTATCAATAGGTTGCCAACCGATAAAATATGTATTGAACGCTCAGAGAGGCTTAAAGGCGATTTAACGAATTAACGGTTAAAATATTTTGCATCATAAATTATTTTAACTTTTCTTATTATTTACATCTTCCAACAAATTGATGTTCCAGATTTATGTTCTCTACACCATTTCTTTGTTATTATTATATCTTTAAAATAGTCATTAAATATTTGCGAGTCACGATAATGCAGTTATTTGTCACTTAGTATCTTTCTTGATTATTTATTTGAATATACCAAAGAATGGTAGGAAATATTTGATCCTATTTTTACTTGTGATACCATTTACAAAGTTTATGAAAATTTCAGGGTGACATTATTTATTACTGAAAACAAATATTATATCATATACCTATGTAATTTGCACGTTTTAACACATAAAATTCATTTACGAATAAATTTATATGTAAGCATATTCACTTAGAGACAGTTCAAGGAGCTTTTTTGTGAGAGGTTCGTGTCGACGGAGACTATTCCAGCTACCCTTATACATTTGAACACCAGCCGACCTAATGAAGGAGAAAGCTACGCCGCTTACGCCAGTAGAGTAATATCTTCGCTCATGAATCAATGGAAAAATTCAAGCATGGAGCAAGTCGCGGTATCAGTAGTGCTAGCTCATTTTGCACAAATGGATACGCGATTACAGCGACTTGCATTCACAACCGAGATTAGTTCGCGTCACAATCTACAAAAGGAATTACAGGCATATTCTTATTTGAAACGTAAAATACCCCAAGCAGAGGATGATACTTCAGATATTGCGAAGCGACCCCGTATGTCAACGGCACCCGTGAAGTGCTACATGTGTGGCAAACCTGGCCATCCAGGCTCGGCCATCGTCTCAAAGAGAAGAAGCCATCTACACCGTCGACTACTGATGTTCGAATCAACAGTCGATCCTGAAAGGAGCTCTCATCTGCTTCAAATGCGGACAGCCTGGCCACATTGCTTCGCGCTGTATGTTAGACATTTTAGTAATGTAGTCTCACTAATAGGAATAGGTAACAAAAATATTACTAGTACTGAACAAGTTTTGTGTTATGTAGAAATTAATAAATTAGTTACTAGAGTACCCTAAACAAAGTGATATAATTTCTTATATTACTCGTTCACCCAAAAGAACCGCCTACAGGATTATAATATGTCTGACGATGGTCGTGACCATTCCTTATCTCCGACATATATATGTTAGTAACTTTTTTACCTTCTTTGCTATCATAATTTACTCACCGCTTAAAAGAACAACTTCCAGTTGTGGTGGTCCTCTCAGCAGATCTGCTTTCATATGTCTTAAAACATTATTCCGTAGATCCAAAACTTTTAATGCCCTCATCCTTTTGACCATTTCTGAAGGCACTTCCCATAAAGATGTCATACCATGTATTTCGATTTTCTGTTAAAAAAAGTTATTGATATTTTACGTAACTTTTCAATTTTATACCTGAAAGAATTTTACTGTATATTGGTTTCATATGATATTTGAAGTATATTGCCTACTATTGGACACTATAGACTATACCAGAAAGACGTATACAATATTAAATTTTAAATTAAACTAAGCTCATGGGAAACTACACCTCTATTATTTTGTAACTACATAATCTCGTCGTTTCGGTTCCATTACATAATTAAAAATTACGTAAATCAAAGGCATAAACAAGGTTTTCAATTACTTTTTCATTGTTATTTAATTCAGGAAACGCCGTGTTAGTAAGTTGTTAAGGATATCGGAAGAATAGTTAAAGTCACGGAACTTAGTCTCTGTTAAGGGTTTCTTGAGCGCCGCTTTGTTTGTAAAATACTATAATGAAAGATGATCTTAATTTAATTTAAATGGGAAAGTTGCTACAACTAAAGGTAGATCTTGGTCCATAAGGATATAAACCATCAAAAGTGTCTTCATTCGCTCATTATAAAACGGTGAATTAAGATGCTTTATGGCATCTCACAGATTCATTGATTTCTGTTAATAAACAACTTACTAACTAAACAAGAGTCAACTATATATGTACATATATATATATATATATTTCTGTGTATAACCGAAACTTTGAGACGTTACGGTATTAGGTTTTTCTATTTGCAATTTATAGGAATCAGTATTTATAAGAAATAAATTTAATATTTTATTTTGATAAATATATAAGTTTTCTGTTTTGAACTTGAAAATAAAAAAGATATTTTTTTGATTTTAACAGGTTTACTGTAAATATTAATTTTGTAGGTGAAAGCAATAAAAGCGAAATAAATAATTAAATATACATACACAATCATGGGTATAATTTCATAATTTCCTCAAAACGTACCGTAGATGAATGTATCATAAAAGATTTTTTTGAAGTATACAAATTTTAATCTACACTATAAAAAGAACATTTCAATAGACGATTGCAGATTTTTGAAATGACCCACGATTTACCATATTTCACGAGCATCGGTTGTCAGGTAGAGGGTGAAATTTCAATTACTAAATTGGACCCCAGAAAAAACAAACGAACTAAACTAAATAAAACAATTTAATAAAATGAAACAAACGTAGAAGAATTAATTGGATTTAATTATAAAAAAACTCTCATCTTTTTTCTTTCAAACAAGTAAATTAATATTACAAATCATAAAACATAACAGAAACTCATAAAAGAACATTATCCTGAACGAAAAACAAAGTTATTTTTAAACAATTACAATGGATTATTGCTCTAAAGATAGCTGACGAATAAACTCGTATGATGCTTCATTTACGATTAAATAGAAGAGCAATTCTACTTTGATCTTTTATAGAACCATAAAATTTATCCTTACTAAAATCATTATAAACTATGTTTATGAAAGATATGATTTTGCTCGGTACCACCAGCCAGCCAGGATATTAATATTATATGAAATAATTTGATATATACATATTTATAACATATTCTGATATTCCCGCTTGTTGCTAGTTTAAGATTATCGTTTGTTATATTACTGTTTGAAATCTGTATTATTGTGTGCTATGAATATTATTAGGCGTTTCAGCAATAACCAAATTTACTACATGAATCCTACCAATATTTTAAGAGGAAGTTTATGGGGATGGATTGATGTTTGTTGTTATTTCAAGAAAAAAAATACAGTGATATTACTTAGACATCACAATGAGACTTTAAAATGCTATGTAGTTCCCGCAAAATTAAGTCGTAACAAAAATCTTTGAAATATAAAAATAATGTACAAATAGAACTCACCTTTATTTTACTCGTAGAATCAAAATGACCTTTAAAATATTTCAAAACAGTGCTATTAATTATATCAAGTGTTTGAAGCTCCGGAAAATATTTCTGAAGATGATCAACATTCATGCAATCGCCAGGCCATTCCAAAACCTCTAAGTGAAATACATCGTACCTAAAATAATCAACAAGTTATGTATATTGCCGATGATATAAAACAGTACCTTAATAGATATCTGTTTTCAAGATATTCAACCATAAGACTGTGAACTGACCTTATTCTCATTATCCACTCTTTAGTGAATCCTCTTCTACATATTAAACCCTCATTAGAGAATTTACAGTTACCCCGGCTCAAGTAGCTCGATAACGAGCACAATCCGTCCATAGGAGCCGTTGCGTTGTTGATCTTTAACTTTGCATTAGAGCTCGACAAATAAGAAAGACTCAAAAGCAGAAGTAACTTGAACACTGAAAAATTATCGTCCATATTTTAAAATATTTTCAATGCAGTAATTTAAATTGAATGAGAGTATAATGTTAATATAATAATATATAGTTCCTTTTCAACATTACATTTGATAAAATAAAACCAACAATGAGAATTAATTAGACAAAAGACTTCGTTAAAGTGAAATGTCTGAGTGTTGATATGAAACATACAGCAAAAAAAACTTTGCTATCTATTACCCATGACTGCCTTCTAAACTTAATGCATGCAAAATTTTAAAACAAAAAAAATAGTTTTTATGTTTCTTTCTTTTTATTCTCTACAAATAGTAACTTATAAGGATTATTTCCTAACAATTTTTTATTATTTATTAGGATTATAATTCAAAGATGAATCCATAAACATTAATAATAATTAGCATAAGACATACTGTTTAATCATTAGTTAGGTTTAGTGCTGAACATGACTCAAAACATTTAAATTTTAAATAATATCTGTTTTGTTTGAAAACAAGAATCCAAACTACTATAAAATATAAATTTCTATAGCACCATACGTTTAACCATGCTAACGACCTCAGATAATAACCCAAGGTTTAGGATTTAAGCAGACAAAGCAATTGTTTGCCAACAATAATCCATTAATTGGTACATACAAGAGCATAAACACATTACATTAGATTAAGATACCCTAGGTACGGCCAATGTTTCCTATCGCTTATATCACATTATTACGAAATACCCGACAAATATTTATTATTGAAGCTAAATGTCAATATAAATTTATATTAATGAAAATATAAAAAGGAACTAAAATAGGACAACATTATTTACTATTGTAACGTAGTTCTCAGAAACTATAACAATATCCCTTCTTCAGTACACATCGTGTGTCACTTAAGTATATTTTTATACAATATGTTGGTGTTAACTTATAAGGCAAAGCGTCGTGACGGAGTAATTTAGAAAATACCAACAACATAGCGACCTTCGAGGTATTGACACAAAACAATGCTAAACATACTAATAATACAAATAAAACTATTTTAAGAGGCAAAATTCGTTCAAACAATGGTATTACAATTCAATACAATATATTAAATATTGTATTCAATAAAATTTTTGTAAGAAGAAATTTTTTACTATTTTTTTAAATACATACGTTTATATTAAAATATTCGTTAAAATTACAAAACATAAATCCTGTTCGAAATTATCTTATTTATATAAAACATACTTATCAAACTTTTTCAGTAATATACATAAATTAGACCGTTCTCCATTTTCCCAGAGTAAATAAACAAATAAAAACTTTTAATAATTAATATACAAAGTTAATTCTAAATGTAACAAACCATTCATGATCATATTCTATCACCACCATCCACCATCAATTTAAATACAAATTCACGAACTAATATTTTAAAATTTTATGATGCTACTTAAAATCACATATTAATAAATAATATTAACTGCTAAACTTATCACAAAGTTGTACGATTTTATCAAAAAACGCGGGTTACGAAGAAAATGCCTACGACGGCGTAGATCCCGTCCGACGGTTAAACTTCAACTGAAAGCCGCCTGAAAATTAAGTACATCAACAAAGATGTGAGGATGTTTTACCGCTGTGGGCTAAGATTTTAGCATGTTACTTGTTTATCATACGTTGATCGATATTGAAAATTATCATCTAACTAATAATTGAATCACTTTATAATATTAACATCTCAGCAACCCACCTTGAATTAATATTTTTAATGGTCGTTTAATGAAAAATGAGGGTGGAACAAAAATTAAAATGATTAACTAATATTATTTACTTATCAACAACTAAGCGTAAAGATATTTCTCACTAAACGTTAAAATAACAATCAGGAATTTACTTATTAAATATTTTTTTAAGTGTTTGTCTGTTTAATGTTGATCATTGTCTTGATCTCTCACAATAAAGCGATATTTTAAAGAAATCCGGGGGGGCGGGTTAGTATTAGAAGTAGTTGGAAAATTATTTTGCATTTTCTTACTTAAGTTTTAATTTTTTATGTGATGACGTATTCATTGCTGTAAATTTAAAAATTTGGACAGAGTATGCCATAAACGTACTTTGGCATCCTATCGACCGCTGTTGATGGGCAGTTAGTAATAAAAGTCATTTTCAGGAAAGTTAATGAAATAGTTGTGTGTTTAGCGATTTTAGTAATGTGGTAGTGAATTATAAAAGTAAATTTAAGGATTAGGATAGGTATTACCATAAACGTGCGTTTGGCATTCTGTCGCCAAATGTGAATTATAAAATTAATTTTCAGAATATAAAATAGTAGAATGGTTTTGTGCTAACGTTTAGGATATGGGATGACTTTAGTTATATAAAGAGTATTCGTTACAATGAAGGAAAGGGGGTGTGAGGAACAAGTAAAAACAAATATACTTACAAGAGTAATACTTATAGGAGTAGGTAAGTATCGAAAAGGGTAATCTAAGAGCAGTAATGATGTTAATAGAATCTTTGGCGAGACGAAATCAAATAAATTCCAATAATTATCTTCAATCCGCAAACATTTCGATAAAAATAAACACAATATCGTATATCCTTCCGCAGTTTCCACACCATCGTATTCCATACTACACTTGTTCCCTTCCTCGATCTTTAAGAGAATATAATAAAATAAATAAATCTAAAATTTAAAAAAAATACAAAGAAAGGACATGAAAAAATGTTTTCCTGGTAACACATAGTTTATTCTCATATTCTACAACTGCCTCTATATTTAATTTTGTTCCTTTACTTAACATGATACTTGATATGTAATTAACTGTCAAAGTAGTGTCATATAAATTTATTTAAAATATGTGGTTCAATCGATTTATTTATGTTCCTAAGAGCTCAAGCGGTATTAAACGTGAAAAGCACATCAAAGTGTATTTAAATTACATAAGCGAGGGATGGGGCGATGAAAAACGTTAAATGTATGCAACACATAATCTTTAATCTCCTCTCTTATTCTTATCCAGTTTGAAGTAACGTTGATGTACTTTTTATATTCTAGAGTATTTGGACTCTAAAGAATAGAAAAAATGTACTTTAAAATCGATTATTCTATAAAATTTTCAATATGCAATTAATGCAATAAAGCTTTGATTGATTTAACATTTTATAATATTGCCTTTTTGTATAGATATACCACAAGACTTAATTACTAAGATGTGACTTTGAAGATATTGTTGAATGTTGAGCAATATTGATCTTATATTGTGATTTTGATTATTAGATGACAATCTCGCTCGGATAAGACCGAACAATAGTTATAGAATGTTCAGTTTACCGGCTCGAGCCCAGGCAAGACAGCTTCATTGATATACTGAATGGAACGCATTTATAGCAAGAAAATTGTTCAAACGTTATTATTGTTGAAGATTTTTTATTATTTATAATATTATTCATTATTTTGTACTCAGAAGGCAACTCATGAGATAACTAAAACAAATCAAGAAATTGATTATTTCATAAAATTGATTACAATTTTCCAATGTTACACACAAACATATATTTTGAATGATAAACTTTTAAAAGTTCAGTAAAAATAACAAAATAAAATAGCATTACTGTTGAAAAGTAGTTTAATAATTCTTGACTCTTTGCAATATACAGGGTGACTGGTGAAATACTATCAATATTTAAGGAGAATACTCGTTACATGATTCTCATTCGAATTATGTAAAAAAAATAGGTACTTAATTTTTGACCAAATTTCCGTATAAATAAATAAAGTGTGGACACGTTCCAAGTGTGTGGACACGTCCACGATACAACATGTACCTACTGTGTAAGTGACATTATTAAAGTAATTTTAAAGAATTATCTAGAAACACATAAAAGCTACTACAAAATAAAATCTGCTACAGTTAATTGAAATCTGATTTCCTACATTAATTTAGTTTTTGTAACAATTAAAATTTTGAATATTTATAAATATCCTTATATACTCAGTTAATTTTTATTATCAGGACATCGTAAGTGATAAATTAATAAGACAAAGTGAAAAAAAATTCTAAACCCTGAATGCTTTAGTTACCTGAAAAAAGTAATAACAGTAAGTAAAGTCTATACAAAATAAACCGTAGTCAGATAAGTTTACAAAATGATTGAATAGATTGAAAGAAATAGGGGCATCTACGCTTATCGCAAAATTTGATTAATAAATAAAATATAATCAAAACTTAATATCTTATAGAAAAAACCTTATGAAAAAACTCACAGAAAATATAATTTTCTTCAGATTTGTCTTTAGTAAATTGAAGCTTAAATACCTTGACCAATATCGACGAGTAATGTTTAAATCTTTATTTTTGGTTTTCTCATTAATTCTTAATAAGTTCTTACAACTAATTTACTATCTAAATATTAATTATGTCACTTGTCCCAATTTAATTTATTTTTTTAATTCAGATATTATTAACCTACTTATTGCTGCTTTCCTTATGATATCTACCAAATTGTGGAGTGTGTGTGTTTCATTTGCATAGATTTGATGGTATAGCTAATATTGGACACGCTTAATCTTTTATGTGATTCTTTCCATAATTTTATATGTATTATATGTTCATCTTTTCACTTCAATGCAGTTTAAGAATAAAACAATAGAGCCCAATAAAATTGTTACATTAAAACATAAAATGTAATGCGATGTTTAAATAAATAGTATTTTTTTCTGGTATTCTAATTAAAAGCTTTTTTACTATAAAGGAATGAATAAAAGAAAATAAAACCAAAAGTAAAATTAGGATGAGTTTCCATCTTCAAACTACATACCTTCCATTTCTAAGCACAATATTTCTAAGTATTAATAGCAAATTTAAACTTATATTAAAATACAAAATACAGACCTTTAAATACGTTAATAACTGAAAAAAATAATATTGGAATAAAACGAATTTTAAACAAATAACAATACAATTATGCCTACAAAAGTGATTTTCTCATTTCGTCACGTACTATATGACGGACAAAAAGAAATGTATTAAAATAAATAATCAAAA